CTTAAAAAAAAAACTGAAAACTGACTTTCTCCAGGTTGTCTTTAGACTGATCCAAAAATGGAACTCATGTTTTTCTAAATAAAGATATTCAATTAAATAGTCAAGTTAGCAATATGGCTGATAATTGTCAGCATGCTGAGGTTTTCCTTAATCATTTCAAGAGGAAATTAAACAATCTCTATCAGAAAAAAGAATTATATCCCAGAAGACAAGCTGGTAAAAATAAAGCTTCAGGCTGGTTTGTTTTGAATTTATTCTCAATGTCTTCATTTGCACTAGGACATCTTTCAGGAAAACTCAGAAGTATGATGGCTGGCATGTGCACTAACATGCCGAAGGTACGACCACTGACTTGCACTTCCTTCCAGCCCCGCCAAACCCAGCAGCTGCCCCCTTTCAGGTCACTGCACACTGCTGTCTCCCCCAGAAACGGCTCCACTTCAGTCTCTGCCTGGTTAGCTGGCATTCATCTTGCAAAGCCTGTCTAAAACATCAGGGGCCATTTCCTTTATTCTCTAAGACCTTCTTAATCCTACCGAAACACACCCTCCTCTACATCCCTACTTTTATTTACACTGTGACAGATTCAACAGCCCAGATTATAGTCAGTATTACAAACACTCTCCCAATAGAGTCAGTATTACAAACACTCTCCCAATAGAGTCAGTATTACAAACACTCTCCCAATAGAGTCAGTATTACAAACACTCTCCCAATAGAGTCAGTATTACAAACATTCTCCCACATTTCCATCATCTGAGTGAGACAGACTGGGATCTGGGACCCCTTATTGCAATACTTGCACCTGAACAAACCTCTCCTGGACTAAAACCGACTGCAGGCACGCACAGCTGGGGCAAATTCTGGACAAAAGATACAAAGAGACCAAAAAACCCAACTGCCACTTCCGAAGAGCCCGGGCAAAAGCAGGGGTCAGGAGCAAAAGCAGGGTACTGCGCATGCCCCTTGCACACACCACCACTAACGGGGTGGGCACACCACCTGAGCCACGCCTGCAGCCCAAGCCGCGGTCAGGCCCGCACCCTGACCCCACATGAGGAAGGCGCTCACCCCACCTCGGGGACTAGGGAACCTGTTCTCACTTCCCATGCTGCAGGCACGAGCTCCCAGAAAGCCCTGCCTGAATTTTGTACCTGGCCTCTGACCAACTGCTATTGATTAAGGAGGCCAAGAACCCTAGTCGGTTACATAGTATCTCTGGACCTAGCATACGGTAACTAACAGGACACTACTGTACTGGCAACACTTGGCCTTCAGATTGCCCAACTATAACAGTCAATTTGTGATGCTCAAACAAATATTTTTAAATCAATAAATAAATTGGTTTTCTGAAATCACTTCCCTTATTTATGTAAAGTATAGAGGAGAAAAAAGGCCCAGTTACTGTTGAGTGAGGACGATTACCACTGCTATAAATAGCCTTCTGTCTTGGCATAACAAGTAAAATCATTCTGATCTTAAATTATCATAGGACTAAAAGTATTTCTTTAAATAAAAAGGAACATTTCTATTTTATATTGAAATTTTATATTTTATATTTATAATAATATAAATAATAGAGTAATATTATGTTTATATTTCATATTTTATACTTCAAAACACTGAAATGTTCCATTCTAAATAAACCTTGGCCTAATTTTTATTTATTTATTTATTTATTTTTAAAACTTGGTCTAATTTTTAAATACTGGTGATAATCTAACAGTCATAATATCTTGTAATTCAGGTCCTAAAATACACTGGGTTTCCTAAAATATGCCACAGGATCACATTAGAAGCAAAACCCTTGGGAGTCTGGGATTAGCACATGCATTAACTATCATATATAGAATGGATAAGCAAGGTCCTACTGCACAGCACATGAAACCATATTCAGAACCCTGTGATTAACCATAATAGGAAAGAATATGGAAAATACTGTGTGTGTCTGTGTGTGTGTAAAACTGAAACGTTTGGGGTACAGCAGAAATTAACATGACATTACAAATCAACTATATTTCTACAAAAAATGAACTTAAAAAAAGAAACAAAACTTATGTTGGCACTTTTTTGGCTGGTCCTCTTCTCTCCTCCAAAGACATTTAATATAGAATTCTTTTCTGAATGATTCTTTGCTTTCCATTTCCTTCAACTTAGGGTCTAACCACATTGCCTCTAATTTCCAACCACTTACATTTCGGTCTGTTACTTTCTGCTCTCAGGAACTTGAGGGGACCTTCCCCCAAACTCCCGGGGTCTTCTTAGACAAAGCTACTAACCTGCACTCACTCTTCACTTTGTCAGACCCTCTGGGTGCATTCCACACTGACCACTGTTCCCTTCTACTTGAAATTCTCTTCACCTGGTTTCGTCAATGCTACATTTTCTTTTATCTACAACAAGAAAGGAAGTCCATGTTTCTCTCTATTAGGAGAGTTCTGGTAAAACCAACTATAATCCGGGGTGATTAATCCTTCTCAATGTGAATAAAGAGCTGGGTGAGGGGGTGCTGCAGGACCGGGAAGGTGCTAGAGAGAAAGCAGGCTGTCACCGACGCCAGCCAGCTGCGGGCCAGGCCCCCCACTCCTTCTGTGTCCCCAGGTGGATGGTCTCCCCGCACCCCAATCATGGTCTCCCCCAAACTTCCATCCTCTCTCTATGCTCTTCTCCACCGGCCCCCCTGAAAGCCCCTCCTCTCTGAGAGACCCAGGACCCTCACTTTCTGGAGACCCCCAGGTTCATCGGCAGCACCTCATTCCCCGGCTCCACTCTGCCTGCATCTCCAGCTGCCCGGCAGACAGAAGCCGGGGTACCCCCGGCACATCAAGCCCACCAACGCCATGGCCTTTCCCTCTCCCCTCACCTCCACCTCCCCAGGCTGTCTGCTGGTTTTTTATCTCCTGGGTTCATGGCTCAGCGGCATCTTTAACCCCACACACACACCCTGTCACCAGGTCCATCCTTCCTTCCTCCAAAACACCACCCTGGATTCACCTTTTCTTCCGCACCCAAGCCCTGGCCTTTAACACCCCGTCTGAGGGCACCACCTCCATCTCTCCACTCATCTCCTTCACTGCAGCCTGTGGTCATATGTTTATTTTACCGGAGTCCACATACAGTTCTAAAACATCATTTTGCAGGCGCAGGACGGTTGGGTGACTTGCTCAATGTCTTCACGGCCACAGATAAAAGAACTGACAACCACACTCAGCTGTGCCTCCCTCCAGAGCCTGGGTGCTCCCCAACCCTGACATTCAAACTCCAGACACAGCCTGTATCATCAGCTGTCGGTAACAGTGGGGCTGTTTCTAAAGGTCTCCTGCAGTTTCAGCCCTAAAAGTTCTGGATCCCTGGGAAAGTTGATGAGCAACTCCACATGAATTCTGCTTTTTGGCCCATTCTAGTGGGTTCTGCTAACAAGGTTTCGGGTCTGGAGCCAGGCCCCAAACCCTGCCTTGCTCGGTACACCAGGCCCCCTAAGGATGGGGCCTCTAGTGATGAGGGTCCCTGACTCCAGTTCCCAGTCATCAAGCCCCGCTGAGCCGAAATTCGCCTAATATATCTGTACTAGCTGCTCTATCGGCTGGCCGGCTGACACCCGGTCACCTGGGGTCCCGGTACCTGGGTCCTCTCCTCTGATTTCCTAGTGCTACACCTTTGCTGCCTACCCAAGTCCTGGAGCCTGTAAGACTCTACTTCCTAGAGCTGTCCATATATGCCAGATTTAGCCTGTTCCCACATGAGCCCCAGTTACATTATTTCCACCATTCCCCTACAAACCCTGTATCCCACTCAAATGTTTTAAATATTAGAAATAAGTCTTCTTCCTCCCAAGATGTGGTCAAAACCACAGCTCCTCTCTGAAGCCGGCAAGCCGTGTCTTCCTTCCCCAAGGCCCACCACACAGCCATCAGTCAGCGGATGTGCCATGTGCCCGCCGCAGCCAGGCTCTGCACGCTGCACATAAGATGCTCCGCGGTCACCCAAGGGACTGCTAAACCAAAGCAAGTGTCAAAAGTAAGACTCACTTTTAATCAAATGAAGAGTATTTTTTTAATGCATCATTTCACAAAAACCAAAGGATCAAAAGAAGCCTTTTACTGGCACTGGTAATTAGATAATAATTCATAGCAATAAATATGCATTTATTCTCCTTAAATCTAGTTTGAGAAAGTACAACTCCATAGGAAAAACGGACGATTCCAATGTAAGAAATCTCTTTACAAGAACGACACTGCCACCTAGAGTCTATAAAACCAGGAGAAAGCTGGCACAGTTCAGAAACTGTAGTATCAATGAAATCCACTCTAAGTCAGGATTGAATCATCAAATTTTTATGTATCTAAATCAGGTAATGTTGGCCAATAAGCAAAAAAAAAATGTCATTCAATAAAAGGGAATCTCTGTCTTTCAACTCTTGAGATTACAAGCACTGTTCTAAAAACATTCTAAGCTTTTCAACAACAGGAAGGGGAACAATACAAACATACTGTTTAGGAAACAAAGTCCGAATCTCATATCATTTATATGTAGCATCTTTTAAAAAAACTGATACAAATGAGCTTATTTACGAAACAGAATCAGACTCAGGGACTTCAAGAACAAATTTATGGTTACCAAGGGGAAAGGGGGGACAGATAAATTTAGGAGTCTGGGAGTAATAGATACATACTACCAAACATAAAATAAATAATCAACAAGGACCTACTGTACAGCACAGGAAACACTACTAAAAATTCTGTAATAATCTATATGAGAAAGCAATCTTAAAAAGAATGGATATACACACACACCTATGAATCAACCTGCTGTACACCGGAAACTAACACTGTAAATTAACTACACATCAACATAAAATAAAAAACTAAATTAAAAGAGAAACAGAGTCTGAGATTTATTTTCCCCTCTTGGATGCAAATGCATAATTCACTCTTCACATGAACCACTTGAAAACCAGCAATGAGGTTAAAAGAAATGACAATTAAGAAAACTGGGCTTACCTGAAAGTGCAAAATTATTGTCCATATTAATCCCAAAGTCAATTTGGGATTTCCATCTGTTATGTCATCATTTCTAATATTCACTAATTTCACCTGTTTTGTATATGAAGAGAGAAAACAACATGCTTTTCAACCAGCACATGAGTTATTTTTACCTACATAAAAGATTCTAAATTACAGATATAAAAGAAGTCTGAATAATTTTAATACCAATAATCCCTTAAAAACTGTTTTACCCCTAAACCCACTCATCTTAGGCTGCGAATTACAGAGGAACATTTCAGCTTTGTTATCTACCGCAAGTACTAAAAGTACACTTGTCAAAACAAAATCATAGTTCAAGTGAGAAGTCCTAAATACTTAAGCTTTCAAACTAGAAATAATACTGTCTTTTTAAAATAAGTGTTATTTTTTACAATTAAGTAGGAAACTATTCTGAACCATCAAATAATTTTAACATCACACTTCTATCACAAAGAGTGTAAAAAAGAAATATAACATTATTATTCCATTTGTCTACCACAGACTGCTACCAGGATAGGTAACTATGTAAGTCACTGGACATTTGGCAGACTGTTCAAAACTTTAAAAACAATATGTCAATAATAACCAGATTTAAAGTTTATCAACTGTCAAATTATGCATTCAGATAAATTAATGCAATAATGATAACTAACACTTCCTAGAAAAATAATTAAATATCATGAATGATACCTAATATTTAACTTACTGGACAAATCACCACCAAAAATATTTCAACAAGGAGACATGATTAACCATTAATCTTCTGGAAACTTCCACTAGAATTAAGACTAGCAAGGCAAATACCAATAACACTTAAAAGTAAGCACTGAGTATTTGCTAGAATTTAGTAACTAAAAGCACTGTGATGTTCATAATAAACCAAATGAAGGACTAACAACAGTGTTTCCTTCTTTTCCTTACCCTCTCCTCTTTCTCCCTCTCCATAAAAAAGTAAAACTGTTGCCACCTCCGATTTCTCCGTTTTCAGTCACTTTCAATTCTCCTGAGTTTCACTGTCTCCTCCTTTTTTCTACTAATTGAAAGCTACCAATTACTTGGCTTATACCATTTTAATCACAGTGGTACCCAATCAAGATCAAATCCAATTTGGTGTTCACTTTTCTCCCACGATTTCTTCTGAAACCTCAAGGGAGCTGGGGACTGTTGTCAGAACTGTTTTTATTTTTAACCACTTCTAAATCACCCAGTTGTGTCTGCTTATAAAATAGGAACTACTGCCTCCTCACTACTACATTTTAAAAATAAACATATGCAAAGTTTAAAGTATTATATAAACTTTTATAAAAATAGGCAATTTTGTAAAGTGAGTATAAAGAATATTCTTTCCCCACTACTAATAACTGTTCTTTGACATTCTTAACATTCTGTTGCTACTAAAATGTCGTTAACTTCCCAGGCAAAAGCATTCCAATTCCAACAGAAGGAAAATCAGTAGCTGTTATTCAGATGGTAATGTAGCCACTTACAATTCCTCTGGGCTTACACCTACAATTAATTTCCTTTTCTTTGGAACAAATGTTTAAAAATATTTTAAAATATCAGTCTCACAAAAGCACAAGTTTAATGGTTATGAAAGTGAAGTCGCTCAGTTGTGTCCGACTCTTTGCGACCCCATGGACTGTAGCCCACTAAGCTCCTCCATCCATGGGATTCTCCAGGCAAGAATACCGGAGTGGGTTGCCATTTCCTTCTCCAGGGCATCTTCCCGATCCCGGGACTGAACCCAGGTCTCCGCATGGCAGGCAGACTCTTTACCGTCTGAGCCACCAGAGAACCTCTGTTAACGATTATTAAATCATTATTAAATCATATTAAATGTTAATGATTAACTCAAAGTCAGATTTAACCTGTTCATTCCCTGTCATGGTCCTATGCAGATTTATTCAGTCACACATGTGTCGTATTATATGATTACAGCTTTGAAATTCAAACATCATACCTGGCGTCTTTTCAAATAGTCAAGTGCAATTTGTACATTCTGGAGTCTGTGAAAACGCATCCGACCCTTCTCTCTGGGCTAAGAAGAGAAAAATGCAGGGTATAAAAAACATTATCTTTTCTGACACCATTGACCATGCTAAATATACTGAATATCCTATATGAATACGCTGTATGCTCATCATACTGTCAAAACGGTATTTACTGTTTGGGTAAATCCATTAAATTTTTAATGATATTTTAATTTTTTTGAATTACCTGAGATTGAATGTAAACTATAGGGATTTTTCTGAATATGTTTTATTTAAATAGATTCTTTACTATGAATATTTTATTTAAACAAAAGGAAAAGAGAAAGTACCACAGAATATACAGACATTTCATATTCACTATACTACAAGTCTAGCCTACAATTATTTAGCTACGGATGCACGCAAAGAATTAAATACCATTCCCCAAATGCCTTCTTAATAAACTCTAACTCAAGAGGGTTTTTTAATTATACATGTATGGCATGTTAATGAAAATGAGGTAAAGTAGCATGCAGTTAGTATAAAAACCACCAAGAAGGAGAAAGGCAGTAAAGGTTTACTTAGCCATGATACAGGAGAGAGAAAAGCAATTAAAGCCATGTAATATATTTCCTCTTTATTTTATTTTCGTTTTTGCACACAATCGGTTGGACTTTAATAGTCTGACGCTGCCTGGGGATGGATGTGATGACATGCTGTGTCAGGAAAACTGACAAACCATAATTCTTTTCCTTGATGCCGTTTCCCTTAAGAAACACTACAAGTCAGCAGAAGGGAAACATAAGGAAACAGAGCTGAGAAAATGTTCAACAAAAATACAAAGAATGGAGCTGATAACTGACCACACAAAATCTTCCAAAGGGAAAAAAAGAAAACTGAGAGCTGAGCTGAAACGTGAATAGGTTGCTGAAGCCAAAGGCAGCAGAATAAAACAGACGGCAGACCACAGACTGGGAAAATAATCCCATATAACAGGAGAAATGAAGGTGATGAATCCCCACTGCATCCACAAAACACACGTTCCAGTGAAAACAGGGGGCTCTGGGGATATGATGACCAAAGAAGCGCATCTGTCTTGCAGAGGTAGGCTCAGTCGACTGAGTGTCATGGGGGTTAAACAGCTCTGTCAGGTCCCTAGCATTTAAAACATCCTCCCCAAATAAAATGAGACAGATAAGACAGGCAGAGAATGTCTATCTAATACCGACTGCCAATAGGCGTGACTTAAGGCATAGTCTTAAATATAAAATAAATGTCCATACGTTCCTTCCAAGAAAGCAATGAGCAGTTATGTCTGAAATATCAATTTCAAAAATGGAACTGATGTGCATAAAAATTAGCAGGCTGGTTGTAATTGTAAACCTTCACACTTATACAAAAGGTATATAAACTTCTTTAGCTCAGATGCCATCCTATAGGGCTGCCATTTCCTTCTCCTATAGTTTAAGCATATGTTCAAATACCATGCAGTGCATAGAGATACAGAAATAAATTTAAAGAGAAAGTATGTCCTCTGTCCAATCTGTTGGTCCACACACATCCACCTCCCTGTGGGTCTTTGGGCCTTTGTACCATTTTCTAAAAAGGAGCCAGAAGCGATGGGTTACTCTATGGTGTTAGCGATCACCGCACTGTACCGGCTAGGTTAGTCGAGTTATGGGGGCGACACCTACCCCCTTATCCTCATCCTCCACATCCTCATGCTGTTCATATTCGCATGCTTCTGAGGCACTCACCAACCGTAAGGTCTTCAAAAAATCTCGCTCCCTTGGCTAATGAATACAACAGACAGAAGACAGGACAGCAAATACACAAGACAGACCAGAAATGAAAAGAAGAGCATGAACAGAACATAATGAAGGAGACCGGGTAACCGAGAGGGGGAGGGATGTTCACAAAAGAGGAGATGACACCTGTGGAGGGGGTTAGACCATCTGTCAGAAAGCGGTGCTTATTTCCTTGCTATTGGTGAGTCTTTTAATAGGGGGTTATATTATGCATCCAAATTCTGCTAAGCATTAAAAAAAAAAAAAAGACCCAGGTAAAAAAGAAGAACAGCAGTAGTATTTTAATTACAGAACTGATTATATAAGCAAGGTCATCAAAGTGTTTCCATCTCCCAAATGCACATCATTTAAAGTCTGAAAATGCTTCAGAATCTAACCAGAACTCTTTTTTCAAGCAGAATTCACAGCAGCTCACAAGACGGATGCTGCAAAAATCTGAACAGTTTGTGCTGAAAACGTACTAGGTCATATGCAAAAAGGATCACACGTTCCTCCAAATAAATTATGAAATTTGAAACTTACCAAGGTGTCTCCCGAAAGAACCTCTAAGAGAGAGATCAAATTGTGTCCGTCCCTCAAGTCTTCATAGAGATCGTTCACATGTTTTCGAACCTACAGACAAAAACACAATTTAAAATTTTTGGTTATAGAGCTCAGATTATCCTTAGTACCCGAACAAGAAAGTGGACAAGGAGAAAACGTTCCTTGTGCGTTCATTCATGCAGTGTTTTACGCAGGCGATGCCCTGACCTGAATCACAATTCCTGACCCAGCAGCCAGGGACACTTAACAAGCTGAGTGTTTAGCCCCCCAGCCCCACGCTGGTCTTCCTGATCTCTGGGTCGCAAAATTCAGGATGCCAGAGGCACACACTCCTCATGTTAAAAGTCCAGAGATGCAGCCTGGTTAAAAGGTCCATGAGACTCTAGGTACTCCTTCTGAAAATTCCTGTGAGTCTATGGTTATCTCAAAATTAGAAGTTTTTTAAAATGTATGTGACGTTTTAAGGCCTCTATTCAAAATTTCTCTGCACAGCAGAGGATTTTCTTTTCTTTTCTGAATAACCTCTTTTCAAATTTTCTATTGGACTACAGTTAATTTACACCATTGAGCTGGTTTCAGGTGCAAAACAAAATGGTTCAGTTATACATATTATCAATTCTTTTTCAGTCTTTTCCCATATAGGTTATTGCAGAGTCCTGAGTATCGTTCCCTGTATGTCCTTGCTGGTTATCTATGTTATATATATTAGTGTGTGTGTGTTTAACCCAACCACTGATTTATCCCTCCCGGGGGATAAACCGCATAACCACACTCACTCTAGCTGACAGTTAACAAGGCTGGTTTAAGTTTCTTAGTTTATAGCTCAAACCACCAAAGACTTCCCCAAAGCGCTGCTGGTCAGCCACAGAGGGACACCCCTGGCAACGCCGGCCAGCTGTCAGTTTCTGCCGGACAGACACGGTGAGCGCAGGTCGCGAGCACAGCTGGCCCACGGCGGGCGGGCCCACCCCAACCTGCTCCCCTGGGGCGATGCTGGGCTGCGTGACTTTGCAAGCCAAGGACGGGGCCCACAAAGAGGCAGGGAGCAGCATTCCCCCACAGCACGTGGGCACGGGTCTGCGCGCCCCCCGTCTGCGTGGTACACACACTCTGGAGGTTTACACGCAAGAGTCAAACTTCTTTGCACGTGCAAAGTTTCATGTGACTAAACAGCAGAAAGAAACAAAAAGATCTAAAGTATGGTCAAAACTTTCCGACTACAGGGCAACCAGCAAGAAAGGGCCTCATGTAAACTGGAAGCAAGCCTTTGATGGCTAAGACTTTCGGGTCTAAAAAAGCAGCTTAAATACCATTAAATTTTGCTCTGCAGTGACCTAAACGGGAAGGAAATCCAAAACAAGAGGGGATGCATGTATACATATAGCTGATTCACTTCTCTGTGAAGCAGAAACTACTGGGACATTATAGACTAGTTGTTGTCATTTAACCACTCAGTCGTGTCCGGCTCAGCGACCCCATGGACTGCAGCACGCCAGGCTGCCCTGTCCTTCATACCTGCCAGAATTTGCTCAAACTCATCATGTCCATTGAGTCGATATCCCAATTTTAAAATCTTTCAATTAAAAAAAAATTTAATACTACTAAATTTTATTATCTTAACTGACTACATGCTTTATGATTTACTGTCAGAAAATATTTGTAAATAGTGAAGAATAAAATTTCCTCCAGAGTTTCATATCAAATTTATCAGCTCCTACGACTAGTATTTGGGGGCTTTCTGCCTAAGTCACAGTACTTTTTAATATTCAACTAATATTCATTTACCCATCTATGCATCATTAGTGACAAATAATGTAAGCATTACACTCAGGCCTAATAGCTTTAAGTAACTACTAATGCCAACAGTACCTATAAAATGACCAGCAAAACTGAAACAGTCAGATTATTTTTAACCAAGTGTTTCCATTTTCACAAGTTGACATTTTTATTTTGATTTCCCAATACCCAAGGAATATCATCTGACTCTTTGGTGTCACAAGATAATTATATAACAGTAAAAGCAAGCTTAAAAATACTTCATTTTTCTAAAAAAAAAAAAAAGAAGCACATCATAACACATTTCAGACAGTCCTATTTAGAAAATCTATAAATACCTAAATAAGTTACAAAGAGATTATTCCTTCCATTAAATATTTACCTTCTATTAAATGAATATCATTAAATGACATTCTCCTGAAATACTCAATTACATTTCAGAGCCAATTTCCAGGGATCTTTTCAGGAAGAAATCTATGATATACATAATACACACGTGTGCAGACAAGCAACTTTATGAAATGAGTGCTAATACTCAATTTTCTACTCACATTTTACAGCACTGTAAGAACTGACTTGGCCTCATTCCAAGCCATAATCGTGAATGTAAGGCTAAGGGCCCACTTAAAAACAAGCTGTCCATGGATGGACAAATGGACAAAGAAGACACATGTACACAGTGGAATATTACTCAGCCACTAAAAACACAATCTTGCCATTTGCAACAGAGACCTTGAGGGAATCAGACTAAGTGAAATCAGTCAGACAGAGAACAAATACTGTATGATTTCACTTATAAGTGGAATCTAAAAAGCAACAAATGAGCAAGCAAAACAAAAATCATAGTCACAGAGAACAGAATGGTGGTTGCCAAGGGTTGGGGCTGGGAAGTGGGTGAAACAGGCGAAGGAGATCCAAAGAAACAAACTTTCAGTTATAAAATAAATAAGACATGGGAATGCAGTGTACAGCAGGGTGACTGTAGTCAATAATATTGTATCACATACTTGAAAGCTGCCAAGAAACCAAATCCTGAAAGTTAACTTTGTCTGGTGCTGAATGGTATTATAACTAGAACTTTTGATCATCTTATAACATATACAAATATCAAATCATGAGGTCATACACCTGAAACCAATATATAATGCTGTCAATTATACTTCAATTAACAACAACAACAAAAAACAAGGCAAAAGAGCTAAGCTTGTGAATTTCATGCATATGTGTACATCTAAATCAACACACTCCTCTGAGTATGTCCAGTGTAAGCAGAGAGCAGACTAATTCTTAAGAGTCTGAGCAGGAACATGAGAGGCCACAGTTACATAAACAATAGTATGCATCTTTTGACCCTGAGGCAGCTGTCGAATCTCTCAAAACAGACAACTCTATCATGCAGGTCTGACATCTTCAGGAGGGACAGTGGAACACAGCGCACAGTAAGGATGTCCCCTCCCCAGGCAGGAATGAACAATCAACGTTAAGAAAGCCAGGCGTTGACTTCAGACTATACTACAAAGCCACAGTCATCAAGACAGTATGGTACTGGCACAAAGACAGAAATATAGATCAATGGAACAGAATAGAAAGCCCAGAGATAAATCCACGAACCTATGGTCACCTTATCTTCGACAAAGGAGGCAAGGATATACAATGGAAAAAAGACAACCTCTTTAACACGTGGTGCTGGGAAAACTGCTCAACCACCTGTAAAAGAATGAAACTAGAACACTTTCTAACACCATACACAAAAATAAACTCAAAATGGATTAAAGATCTAAATGTAACACCAGAAACTATAAAACTCCTAGAGGAGAACATAGGCAAAACATTCTCTGACATAAATCACAGCAGGATCCTCTATGACCCACATCCCAGAATTTTAGAAATAAAAGCAAAAATAAACAAATGGGACCTAATGAAACTTAAAAGCTTTTGCACAACAAAGGAAACTATAAGCAAGGTGAAAAGACAGCCCTCAGATTGGGAGAAAATAATAGCAAACGAAGCAACAGACAAAGGATTAATCTCAAAAATATACAAGCAACTCCTCCAGCTCAACTCCAGAAAAATAAATGACCCAATCAAAAAATGGGCCAAAGAACTGAACAGACATTTCTCCAAGGAAGACACACAGATGGCTAACAAACACATGAAAAGATGCTCAACATCACTCATTATCAGAGAAATGCAAATCAAAACCACAATGAGGTACCATTATACGCCAGTCAGGATGGCTGCTATCCAAAAGTCTACAAGCAATAAATGCTGGAGAGGGTGTGGAGAAAAGGGAACCCTCTTACACTGTTGGTGGGAATGCAAATTAGTACAGCCACTATGGAAAACAGTGGGGAGATTCCTTAAAAAGCTGGAAATAGAACTGCCATATGACCCAGCAATCCCACTTCTGGGCATACACACCGAGGAAACCAGATCTGAAAGAGACACGTGCACCCCAATGTTCATCGCAGCACTGTTTATAATAGCCAGGACATGGAAGCAACCTAGATGCCCATCAGCAGACGAATGGATGAGGAAGCTGTGGTACATATATACCATGGAATATTACTCAGCCATTAAAAAGAATTCATTTGAATCAGTTCTAATGAGATGGATGACTCTGGAGCCCATTATACAGAGCGAAGTAAGCCAGAAAGATAAAGACCATTACAGTATACTAACACATATATATGGAATTTAGAAAGATGGTAACGATAACCCTATATGCAAAACAGAAAAAGAGACTCAGATGTATAGAACACACTTGTGGACTCTGTGGGAGAAGGCGAGGGTGGGATGTTTCAAGAGAACAGCATCGAAACATGTATATTATCTAGGGTGAAACAGATCACCAGCCCAGGCTGGGTGCATGAGACAAGTGCTTGGGCCTGGTGCACTGGGAAGACCCAGAGGGATTGGGTGGAGAGGGAGGTGGGAGGGGGGACCGGGATGGGGAATACATGTAAATCCATGGCTAATTCATTTCAATGTATGACAAAAACCACTGCAATGATGTAAAGTAATTAGCCTCCAACTAATAAAAATAAATGAAAAAAAAAAAAGAAAGAAAGCCAGGCGCTCTTGGTCCCCTGGGCCCACCCATGCCTGCCAGAGCCACATTTCAATCCAGATCCACTTCCTCTGTCCTTCTCACTCCAGGACGGTTAAAGATGAGGTGTGATCAGTGGCCAAGACATAGGAAAAACCTAAATGTCCATCAACAGATGAATGGAAAAAGATGTGGTACATACATACAGTGGGATACTACACAGCCATTTACAAGGATGGGACAG